CCTCCGCGTTTGCAGAGGCTGGCGAGGGGCTGCTGCTCCGGAGTCAGTCTGGGAGGGCTTACTGAGGGTCTGTCAGGCACAGATCTGTCTTTGGCAGAGGAAGGAGGTCCAGCAGCTCTCAGCTGGCGCAAGCAACGTTTTCTGGACAATTTCAAGCCTCTTTCTGCGCCTTCGACTGAGAGCGAGGGGTCAGGCAATACCTACGCCCAGTTCCTGGGAGCCACAGTCCAGCTCATAGCCTTCACCCTGGCCCCGCAGATGTCTGTGTAGCACTGACAGCTCCTCACCTCCTCTGTCTGCGTCTGTGGGGAGCATGTCTTTATCTCGAACCCGGGATCTTGGATGTGTATTCAGGCATGAGTTTAGAGACCTTGACCACGTGCAGTTTCAGAAGAATGGTGGAGTAGGGTGGGTGGCCGCTTTAGACAGCACTTTGTAGGTGCTATTGCACATGAAGTTGTTCGGCTGTCATCAAACAACCAGTGATTTCCTCAGTGAGTGCTATTAGGATGCTTTCCTCTTTATTTTCTTCTGCACTGCAAAATCAGTGCTGGGGCAGTGTGAGCTTAGCAAGCAGTCAGTCATCTAAAACATATTTTCACCCTCAAAATAAATGCTTGCTTATTTATTTTTTTATTGGGAATCTTCTCAAGGTGAATTGCATTATACACTTCTGGATGTGAAACTTGCTAAAGAAAAGTGAAACTTAAGATTATGATTTAAATAGTTCCAGTGGAAGACAAGTTTCTCAAAACAGGTGCTTAAAGGAGAGTCAGACAAATTGCTGATTTTAAAGTTACTTCGTTTTTAATAATTAAAGATGTAGTGAATTGCTGCGGATCAGCAATCAGTGAGCCAAAAGGAAACCTAGAGTTAAAATTCAAGTGTTCTTGGCTCCCAGCCTATCGATGAGTCCACTAAAATAAACTGTATCTCAGCAGTTCATAGACTTCTTGTTCAAGAAGGTGATACTCAGTTACCTGCAAGATTCATACATGCAAGTCCCTATATGAGTAGTAATAATAAGAAACCGCAAAATGAAGTTAATAGCTTTTATTGAAATGGAGGAGGACATTGGTCTTTTGCTATGAGTTGGTTTTTCAGCTGCCAGCTCTTGTGTAAATCTTTACAGATACCATTGTCTGCCACATCTGGAAAATTTAACTTATGCAGACTTTTTTTTTTTTAAGAAAAAGGAGATAAGTTGGCTAGCCTTAGAGAAAAATGCAGTATGGTAATAAATATTTAGGAAATATATTCTGTTTTTCTTCAGTTACTATTTCTTCATTCACTAATTGTCATTCATAGGATTATTTGTGCAACTTTCGAGTTAAGGAAGATCTAGAACACTTTGCTTCATTTACATAATTTTAAAAAATCCAAATAAGTAAGAAAGGAACAAGCATTTAGTTACTTAATACTGTATCAGTGTGCTTTCTGATGCTGTATTAATTAAGTCAAGTCCTATCTAAGAAACACTGAATTAGACTATGACATGTTTTGATTCAGACTGTGTAAAATTCAGAGTATCTGGAAAAAAGCTATTGTCAGCTGTGCTGCCACAGTAGAAAATAGGGGGAAAAAAACGGTTTTTAAATTATTAAAAGAATGTGTACAGGTCAATTTCCAATTGTTCAGAAGATTTATGACAGGTGTTCCATTTCATTCTTAGATCCTCACGGATCACTAATGAAATGTGAGACTGCAGTCTGATTAAAGGGATGCCAGTGGTGTTCAGAGACGGAAATAAATCAAAGAAAATCCCCTGATTGCAGATATAACGTATTGTTTTGGTTACTTGTTCCTGCCCACGTTCCTGATATTCTTGAATGGATCTTGCATATCTTTTCTGCTTTAAAAAGGCTTTCTCTGAATCAAGAGTATGCAATAGTATCTTGTTATTTTTTCCTTCACTAAGAATAAAGTCATCACTTTACCAGCTGTTTGCCATCTGATGAGGTCCAGGTACACTGAAGGGGTTTTGCCCTCCTCTTTTTTTGAAGGAGAAGGCGTGTTTTGAGGGATATAGTCTGTAAGCTCTAGCGAGCTGTTAATGATGGAAAAAGTTGAATTCTAATGGATTGTATAGATCAGGAGCAATTTAAAAACGTTCAGTGCCCTTCGTCTGTCAGTACAAAACCCATTACTATGCTGTGAGGAGACCACGATCTCCAGCAGACTGTCCTGTTGCGCTTCTAAAGTGACTTGTACCTTGCTCCAGCAGACCTTCAGGGTCTGATTCCTGCATGGGCTTCTGACTTCAGCACCTAACTTAAACCACCAGCTGGAACAGACCATTTATCTGTGGTCATTCATTTATCTGTGCCATTTATCTGTGGTCATGCAGGCTCCTGTATTTCTTGCATGCACTACAAGTCTTAGTGGTTTTTGTAATTTGTGCTTGTGGAACCACTAGAGATGTCTCCTTTCAGAACAGTTTAAGCAGAAAAGGGCAAGCTTTCAGTAGACCCCTAGATCCTAAAGAGAAGCAAAGTCCTTGAAATGTTTGTTCTGGCTGGGCTTTGGCACCACCTCTTTTTGTGGTCAGCTATCCACATTGCTCTTGGCAGGTTGGCAGAATTAGCTAGTTGACACAACTATCGTTCCCTGTCCTCTCTCCAAGTTGGAGCTGGAGCACACTGGCAAGGTGGTGAGGGAAAGCTGTTCACAGACACAGCTATTTTCAGAAGCGCCAACCTCACTTCTGTGGAAAACAGAGTAAGCCAAGGCCCAAACTTCACTGGATTTCCAACACGGAAATTGTTTGTTGTCAGTTTGATCAGTGAAGACTGTTTTTACTGTTGTTGACAATTTGTACTACCCACCTGATCCAGTCTTAAAAAGAAAACCCTGAAAAATGGGAGCAATTTGTACTACCCACCTGATCCAGTCTTAAAAAGAAAACCCTGAAAAATGGATAGCACACAGCCCATGTCTGCAGTGCTTGCAGGAGCAAAGGAAGTAAAAAAGGACGATGCTCCCATTTCACCAGCGCTAAGTATCTGAAGGCTTCCCTGTTGAAATGGGGAATCTGTATTCTGCATACAACTGGGAGAGCCCGTGCCAGGATCTGGGTAGGCAGAAAAATACAGAAACTACATTTGCCTTTCTTCTGTAGCAGCGCTGGCTCAAACATACACGATGCAGGAGGCTTGTTATAGCATCGTTCTGTGCATAGGTCTTGCACTGCTGTGAATGAGCTCATGTATACTACTCCAGGGTTAGAGGATCCCCATGGAGTGTGCCGTAAAGTGCAGGCTGTACGTCACTCTTCACGTCAGTGTTTCAAAATCCTTTCAGAATTTTGCTTGGTAGCCACTCTGCATATGTCCTATGCAAATTCTGTAAAGTACTTGACTGCATAAGGCTTGTATTAACAGGCATCCCAAAATGTAATTGAACACAATATTTGTGCTGATTTTTATCAGTTGCTTCTGCTCCGGTTACTTAGAACGAGGGCAAAGGGGATTAGAACAGCACTGGTGCAGTTAATTGTACCTCAGAGCAGGGGATCTTAACTTCTTCTTAGCTCTGTTTTGTATGAATCTGTGGGTAAGACCATCAAAGGGCACGGGACAGAAATCAGCAAATAACGGAGTTGGTGTTTTCTTGGGCTGCATTTTAGTATTGAGCAACATTCACCTGAAGGAGGGACCGGGTGTTGGGGACAGCTGCTGCACAGAACAGGGTTCTGCTTACTGTAAAACTCCCTTACTTCAAGCCACTGCAGGGTTTGTTTTACAGTTTAATTCTCATATATTTTTCAAGTGGAAGAAATCAGATATAAAAAGTGTTAACACAAAACCCCATTATTCTATCAATATTACAAATAACATTTTAATGAGAAGGCATTTTTAGAAGAATAACCTTTTTTGTATCAACATAAAACATTTCTTCCACAATGATGCTGTTTTTTTATCAGGTGAAACAGAGTCCACTAGGCATTCATGTGCTATACAGGATGCATTCTTCATTTTCCTTTTCTTGTTTTCAGACACTTGTGTAGTTTAAATTGCCAAAGATTTAGGCTAAGAGATCCTGTTATCTATTTGTTTCTCACTATTTAAAAGTATTGTGGCTTTGATTTTGTTTCACTAGAGGAAGGAGGCATTACATGATACTTATGAAAAAAGAAAATGAAACCTATGCACAAAACTGTAGGCTTAAGAGAGAAATTGATTTGTCTGCTTAGGTAATGTTAGGCTTTTTTAAAACCTAATTTCCTTTTGGGTAATTTGTTTTGTGATAATGTTGCAGTGTGGAAAAAAGTTTGCTACTAATTCAGTTCATGCTAATGCCTTCACCTTTTTAAAAATAAAAAACCAAGAAAAAAGCCCCAACAATGACTCATTCTGACAAATGATATGAGGTAATGTGTGTTTGAAACACCAGTTATTTGTGTAACATGCATGAAACATTCCCATTTTTCTTTTTTATTTGGCAACCTGCAGAAAAATAACAATCCATCTTCATATTTCTTTTTTATCATGATGCTTTTGCCCAATATATGCTATTTTGTATTCCTGAGCTACACTTTCTTGTGGGCAAATTTGCTAAGAGTCTGCATCAGTTTCTGCTGGTGCAGAGCCTCCTGAGGCAGTAATTGCCCTGGTGTGCAGGAATTTGGGGTTGCTCAGTGTTTCCTAGAACCAACCTGTGACTGATTGCACAACTGAATGCACAAAAGCATACTTTGCTGCATGGGAAGAAGGTGATAAGAGTATTTTCAGTGATTGATTCCCTTGATGAAATGGCCTGTCACTTTTGTTGCTCCTGTGCAACCCTTGCAGAGGGTTAAGTCACTTTCTGTCACTGGACAGGTTAAAGGAGGGGAGGAGGTGATAACTTGTCTCAGGTGCAGCTTCAGCTGTGTTCAGCAAGGCAGCTGATGGCTGGCACAGCACACACTTGACTTCACAGTGAATCAGGTCCATGAAGAAAATACGTTGTGCTGCTTTCTCTTGAGCCAACCCTCACTTCAAAATAGATGTCATGGTCCCAATAGTCACCATGCATCAGCATGGGTTCTTTTAAATGTCATAAGTTGTGTTATGGTACAGCATCAGATATGTCTGTTAAATGCCAAATGTACAATGTTTTGAGAGTACAGTGCTTTTACCCAGTTGTCCTGTTCATATTAACTCAGTTCCCCAGCATCAGCAATAAGGATGACATAGTGTAGGTGAGCTGCTGATGCTTTCAGCACCCGGTTGATTAGATCTGCCTTGAGTGGGGTTAGGTAGCACAGCTATTCAATTGGCAATAGCCAAACATCTTTCAAAAGACAAGGACTCCTGGAAAGCTGGCCTTGAGAACTGGGTGGAAAGCATTGCTGAGTTTTGTCAGTGGAAGCAGGAAGCTAATGACTCTGTTCCTTGGGTCGAAATGCACACAATGTAGTACGTCTTCTGCAAAGTGACATAAATATCAATGGAAAGCTAAACCATTCATTTCAGGTACCAGGAAAAGGGAATCTGGAAACATGCAACCTTAGGTTTCAGACATGGTTCAGTCCTACAGTCACGATGTGCTTGTACAGTAGATCTGACTCGTTACATAGTGTTACTCAATGTATAGATACTGTCCTGATAGCTCCTGGCTTGTTTGGGATGTCTCTGTGCTAAGCGTATGCCTTTTTGAACCTGGTATGAATACACTGTTAGGGAACACCCCAACTACAGCTGAAAAATATGAGCCCTGTCATAGCATCAAGGTCGCTGACACAAGAGATCGTGCCATTCTTGTATGCCCAGCTGCTGGCAACTACTTGGCTGACAGGTATGGAGCTTTGAGAACCATTGCATGTGTATTTTTTCTAATTCCTGGTAAAGATGCCCTAACGTGAACAGCTCAGATGTACAGCTCTTTCTCAAAACTTTGGCCACGGGACATAGTGATTTATCTTTTGATTCCAGCCAGTGTGTCAGAGAGATCTGCCACAGGTGAGGCAAGGCTCTATAGCGTAAGGTAGAAAAGGATCCTCTTGACGGGCTTGGCAATGCACTGGGAGAGCACTGGTGCTGCTTTCGCTGGACTTCTTCTCTGTGTGGTTTGATGGAAGTGTGCGAGTGCATGTATGCATGGTCACCTAATGGTTACTACAATTTTTTATTAAAATGTGCTGTTAAAATAAGAGTGCATGCATTAGAGAGATATAACGGGTGAACAGAGAGATTCTAATTATGAAACTAAAGTTGGGCATTGTATCATTTTTGAGCACTGGCCTGCCGTGTGCAAAACTTAAATCAACTGTCTTAATAAACAAACTAGAAAAGCTCAAATATTTAAAATACGATATCTGGAAAAGGCCTGTGAGGAAAAAAACCCCCAACCTAATTAAGAAAATCTGCTTTTCTCTGGGAGCATCCAAACTGAGCAGTCTGTTGGGCATGGGGATTTAATCATGGCTTTAAATAATAACCAAACCTTTTCCAAATCCGCATATCTATGTGATTAATTTCTTGATTTTTCTGATTTGATATTTTTATGCACTATATATTGATTTTGATCAGCTGTAGCACTGGATTAATCTGAACTTGTATTTTTAATACAGTATGCTGATTGCCTCCCAGCTGGAACCAACGTATGCCAGGACAGTGTATCCATGTTTTGATGAACCTGCCATGAAGGCCACATTTAATATCAGAATTGTCCATGATCCAAGCTATGTGGCTCTTTCCAACATGCCTGCTATTGGTAGGTGAACAACAAGTAGACTTATAGGCTTTTTCCCCCCTAAATTACTTTAAAAAAGGGTGTAATTTATCTGAACAGACTATTATCAACAGTGTTCTGTTGTCCGTGTGCTAATGCCTTGAAAATGCACAGCAAATCTGTGCCTATGAACTTAAAAATTTGGAAAGAGTTATTCATAATTAATGCCTCTGATGGCAATAATTCCATAGTTTTGTCAGATACGATGTCCTCTCCTCTGGTTGCTGGAGGCTGGACAGGTTTGATTGCTGGCATTTATCGCTTAGTCAGTGTGTCTGTTGTACTGCGTGACATCTGCTTAAAACAAAACGGCAGCTCCAGTATGCAAAGCCTGTAATTGTGTTATTAAGGGATTCCTTTCATTTTAAGTAAATTTTAGGATGTATTTACAACACACAAAAAATTGCTTTACCAGACAGAGACACTATAGCCTCCTGTGTATGTGCAGAATAAGAACAAGAGGACTATAATTCTCTGGAGATGCTCTTCCTGTTCCTTGCTGGGATCTCGTATGGGATGCATATGGGATATAAGATTCCAAACAAATTCTGAAGATGATTAGTTCTACAGGAATCTGTTGGACCTCTTGCCTCCTTCTTAATGTCTTTTTTCTGCAGTTCAGTGCCATGAATCTTTATTTTTCAGCTAAATAGTTTTCAGCCATAAAAAGGAAGGTTTATGAGATGGAAGCTAAGTAACTTAGGAATTATAATAGATGGGACCTCTGTGAGAGTCGCTTGAAGCATTTTTTTTTCCCCTGAGAATCATGTCCATGTCTCTCTTATTTAGAAGGAAGGTATCTGATTAAGTATTTCATAATTCTCGGGCACACATGACCTATATTTGAATCATAATAGATTGTCCATTTTAGAGATATGCAGCATGGAATAAATTGTCCACAGTTTGCCCACATCCTAAATCTGATGCAGTTTGATATCCTTCCAAGACTCCAGTTAAGAAGCTCAAGAGTGGATTTTTGGTGTTTGCATGGAAGGTCACGACTCTGATACGTGGCAGTGGCAAGGAGTCTGGCTGCTTGCCTTCTACCAGAAACATAGGAAGTTAGCGCAGAAATACAGCATATTGAAGAGAGGTGTAAAGAAACATGCAGAAAATACAAAATTCCTTGTTTGTTATGAAAAAGCAAAGGTTTGAATATTTCTGTAATATTTTTTCTAGATGTATCTGAAATGAAAGATGAAAATGGAAGCCTGTGGACTGTTACCACATTTAACACTTCGCTGAAAATGTCAACTTACTTGACTGCTTTTGTGATTTGTGATTTCGATTATGTCACCAGAACCGAGCGGGGAAACGAGGTAAATATGAGGCTGCATAACACATTATAGGAGTTTACCACAGAATTTGGCTCTGTGGTACATCATGTGCTTTAGAAGATATCACAGACATTAACTGTGCTTTCCATTCCAAAACTATTTGCTTATGTGGCAAAACTGCAAACATTCATCCTGCAGATTTTTCTGCAGAAAGCTTTACTTTAGGACAATTAGTTTATTGTCCTGTCCTGATCATTTCATACAATTCCACAAGTAGGTATGGGCTCTGTATGTTAAAACTTTAGAGGCAGCTACTCTGCAGAAAGTACTGGTCATAATTCAGGGTCTTCTTATCTTCTTAGCTCTCTTAGTTGGAAAAAATATCCATTTCCACTCCTGTGACAAACCACTGAAGTTCAGTGCCTTGTTAGTCAAGGCCCTTTGAGGAGCAGCGTCATGACATTCATTAGTAGGTGCAATACTGTGCTCTGAGCATTTTGTATACTCTAGTATGTTAACATTTTATTCTGCAGTGGACACATTTTTTAGCCTCCAAAAGTGACTGCTTTGTGTTTGAAGCTTCTTCATCAGTGAGTATTCAGTTTTGCTCTTACACTACAATGGGCAAAGCTTCTTGAGGGAAGCTGTAAAAAAACATACTCCGTTGGCACCAGTCATTTCACTTTCCTTCTTTTGTTGAAAGTCAACAGAGAAAAGACCTAACAAGTTGTTCCAAAATAAATAGTAAACTCAAGCATAAAGCCTTAATACTTGCTACCCTTAATAAATGAGAGCGCCATGTTAGCTTCATGGTCAGTTTGCTGTCATCCTACTGGGGAAGGGTGAGGCGAGGTGAGAAGACAGTGCAGAGGTGACCTAGGACGCAACAGCAGTAGCTCCTTTTTAAAGTGAAGATTGGACTTGGTATGTCGTACCTGCATATATACCCTGTATAAAACATGTTGGATGCTTATGGCTTTGACTGTGGTGCCTTTTTCTTGGGCTGACATGTACTGACAGCAGTGAGCAAAGCAAACATTCAAACTGGTGTTTTTCAGAGGGAAAAGCCACCACCACCCATCTTCTGTGAGACAGAGGGGCAAGGGTTTTTCACCCCTTGGTTTCAGACAGAGATGCTCAATTTATGCCTCCACAGTATTTGTGTGAGCATGTTTGTTCTGTCTGTTTTGTCATTTCTGGTAAGTATTTTACAACCCAAAACACCAGTATGATAACTCAAAGCTCATACTAGGATTAGGATTTTAAGTCTGCCCATTATGTTTAGATTTTGCAAAATGAAGTGATCTGATCTTTGAATCTCCTCTGAAGCCCGAGCTGAAAAGAGGGGCTCAGAGGCTGAGGATAGTCTGCTGACTGAATATGATTTCTTTTTTCCCTTTTAAATTAAATCCTGATGTTTCCCCAACTTTGCTATTAGGGTTTGGCTGTGCAGCTTCTTGTGAGATGCAAGAATTGTGGGAATTTTGAGCTGCTAGGCACCCGGGGGGTCTTGCATCCAGAGATACCTGATGGAGACATAAACCTTTCCTCAGTCTACTCCATCACCTTGGGCAAGCAGCTGCCCTCTGCCGTACCATGACAAAGAAAATTGGCATGGGAAGGAAAAGCTTTGCTTGCTGCTGCCGTCTCTGTTACTCAGAGGTACAGATGTCATCTGCTCAGATGTCATCTGCTCTCTTTAGCAGCGGTGGGAGGCCAGTGGTCTGTTTCAGCCTGTGATAAAGTTCAAGAGGAGAGATATGTATGTTTGCACAGCAAATGATCTCTAAACATCCATTTCTCTCTCTTCAGGGAAAGAGTGGTGGGCTGAAGGAAAGTTTGTGTCCTGGTATCAGCTGGGATAGAGTTAATTTTCTTCCTAGTAGCTGGCATAGTGCTGTTTTGGATTTAGTATGAGAATAATGTTGATAACACACTGATGTTTTAGTTGTTGCTAAGTAGTGCTTATGCTAGTCAAAGACTTTTCAGCTTCCCATGCTCTGCCAGGTGCACAAGAAGCCGGGAGGAAGTATAGCCAGGACAGCTGACCCAAACTGCCCAAAGGGCTATTCCATACCATATGATGTCATGCTCAGGGTATAAACTGGGGGAGTTGGCTGGGGGACAGCGATCACTGCTCGGGGACTGGCTGGGCGTTGGTTAGCAGGTGGTGAGCTGTTGCATCACTTGTTGTTTTCTGCTGGGTTTTGTTTCTCTCTCTCTTGTTGTTCTCCTTTTCATTACAACTTTTATTACTGTTATTATTTTATAATTATTATTTCAGTTATTAAACTGTTTTTATCTCAACCCACGAGTTTTCTTACTTTTGCCCTTCCAATTCTCTCCCCCATCCCACGGGGCAGGGGAGGGTGAGCAAGCAGCTGTGTGGTGCCTGGTTGCTGACAGGGGCTAAACTACAACAGTTTGTCACCCAGACTCACTGTCTGGAATATATTGGCTGAAGATGTGTGGATCTAAACAGTTTTACAGCATTTCCTGTTTAATAAAAGAAAAATTACAAGTCCATTTGTTCCAGCAATGTATAGTTGGATTCAAGTCTTGGCCCTTTTGAAGTGCTGGAACTCTCCTAGGTTTTAGCAGGATTAGGCTCTGTGCCACATTTTGTTAGGTCCAGCAAGACTTGGGCTGGGATTTTTTTCATTAAAAGCTTCACTGCATGATCTAGTGTGGACAGACAGCATTTTCAAACAATGATTCACGGAAGAGAAGCAAAGAAAATGAAAATATGAGGGTTCTCTAAAATAACACTTCCTTGTTTTACTGCAGATACGTATTTGGGCTCGGAAAGAGGCAGTTAAAAATGGGTATGTTGACTATGCTTTAAATATCACAGGCCCAATATTTTCATTTCTGGAAGACTTACTTAACATCAGCTACCCTCTGCCAAAGACAGGTGAGATTGCTCATTTTCTTAAATGGACCAGAAATGGCTGCTGATAATGTAACATTCACAGAAGCAATGGGTTCTTTCACAGTATTCTCTTTTTACATCTTGCCACATTCATGGAATAAAACCCCTAAGCTTTAACTCACTGAATTCTCCTTTCTGCATCTTGGTTCTTATTAACCAGTAACTCAGCACTCCTACCTTCACATCACACTCATTCTCTTAAAGCATCATTTCCTAATGAAGGGGCAGATGGGGCTACAAAGTGGATAGAAAGAAGTTGTTCAATCGCATGGCCATTTCTGGGATGCATAGACCTGGTATAGGCAAGTCCCTACGTCCTCCTAGTAAATCCATGCTTGCTATAACCCACGTCTCCCCAAAGCATTCCTTGCTTTCTTCAATATGTCCCTGTCTTACCTGTGAGTTGGCTATATATATACCTCCCCAGAAAAGGATTCCTGCAGGAAAACATTGCTTCTGCTTAAAATGGACATCAGGTAAGTTAGTTAAGTCAAGCTTCAGCCAAGAAAGAAGGGTGCTGTGGTTCACTGTACAGTTTGTCCGCTACTTGTACTTGGATTCCTAAGGGTTTCAGCATTAATATTAAGGGGTAACGTGCTCTTTTATACAAATTGGTAGAATACTGAGAGCACAGAAGGCAGTTCTTAAAACTAATTTTGACCTGCCCATGATCTTAGCAGATTGCAGGATTGTGGAGGAAGAGTTTCCCTCCTTTCTTGGTAATTTGTTGATTTGCCAATTCTGTAGTTTGGCACTTGAAAGAAACAAATTTTCATCAGTGTAAATGTGTTATCTCCCAGTGTATTTAGAATAACACTACACTTAGGGAAAATGTAATATATGCAATTGTCACTTTTAAAATTTTGTTATCTTAGTAATCATACGAGCTACTCAAGGGCTGTAGACAATGCTGCTTCATGCTTGTGTTCTGCTTAGCAGCACTGTCAATATGTTAATTAATTAGTATAAGAATATTACAAAATTGAAGTAGAAGAATGGTATTGCAGGCTTCCTGTTAGGTAAGATTTGTTTCACTGAATGCTGTAATACCATTACAATCCCTGCTGTAATGTCATCCAATACCAACTGCATTTCCCAGTGATTTTCTTTGATGTTTTGCTTAAAAATCAGTAGGATTAGATCAACCAAGAACGGCTTCTTGTAAATGCTAGAGATTTCTATTGTGAACTCAAAATGTGAAATTAGGAATAAAAACACATTTAAAATTAGAGGTATTTAAAGGTTTGTCTTCACCTGATTTTAATGCAGTTATAAGGGACCTCTCTTGCCCCAGGCTGGCTAGATGAGGGCTGCCTCACCAGAAGTGAAATACCTTTGCTGTAAGCCTGAGGCGGTAAGTCCCACTGAGATGCAGTCTAGCTTTGCTTGGGTTCAGCACCACACTTAGGCTAAACGTGTTGCTTTTGGACTGGAACCGGCTCATGGTCAGCTGGTTTGGAGTACAAGCTTGTGTCTGCTTCCAAAATGCTCCATATACCTTTTGCGAATTTTGCACTTTGCTGCTGAGTTTAAACAGTATTATCTTTGATACCCTTGATGTTCATCCAAGGCCCATCTCTCTTTCGTCCTACTCTCACATTTGAACTGGAAAACTGCTCCCTGTGCATAAAGCAGAAGGGGAGTACAGAGGTAACAGCCCTGCTGTAGAAACAAAGAGATGATATTTTTAAGGCATCTTTCAGATAAGAGTGGAAAGGATCACTCCACTCACAGAGCTGAAAGAGCAAGGGGTTTTTTTTTAATCAGTGGCTAGGCTGAAGAAAGAGGTAAGTATGATCCTTTGCAAACACATGAGAAACTCATACAGAGAGAGATTTCTGAGAGCCAGAAGTGAATATATTCTCTCCTAGCATTGGTAGAATACAGCCTTCATTTTTGTTCAAAACATTTATATGTACAAGATGCAGTACAGATTCAGGAGAATTTATTATGTGGCTTCTGGAAAGAGAGGCAATCATAGAGGAGGAGTATGACAAGAAGAAACCTCACAGACCATTTGCAAGAGTGTTGCCATAATACAGCAAAGAACCACTAACAGGTAGTGTCCTTTAATCGCACACTGAACCAGTGTGAGCATTAAAATCATGTGAGCATTTTAATTCCAAAAATTTTAAAGATACCTTTTTTTTTTTCTCTGTTTGAATCAATTTAGATCTGGTTGCACTGCCTGATTTTGGAGCAGGTGCTATGGAAAACTGGGGGCTAATGACTTTCCAAGAATCATCATTGATGTACCTCCCGAGTGATAAATTCACAAGCAGAAAGGCAATGATTGCCATAATTGTGTCACATGAGCTAGGACACCAGGCATGTGGTAAAAAATTCTGTACATTTATTTGTCTATGAAGCTGTTTCCTTCCAGTTGCTGATGATGCAGTCACTGATTAGTAGAAGAAAAATAGTGACTTGACAGTAGGTGTGAGCACTAGAGGACTGAAAGATTATTTGATCATATGTTCAGTTGATAAATCAATATTAAAAGCAGATTCCATCATATTACATACTGGATATTGACTGCACAGGGCTCATTGATACAAAACTGTTAATGAGCTCCTTACTTTTTTTCTTACGCAGTACCTGAATGCCATACTAGAAAATACTGTAGCGATGACACAATTCTCTCTGTATGCAGTATACTTAGTACTTCAGTGGGAGAATTAATGGACTTTATAAGCATTATTTTGTAGTGGGAGTGCATGTACATATTGCAAAAGGTATTTGTTTTTCTGTAAGACACAGCCTTTAGTATGATAGAACAAACTTAACATGAAGACATTTTACACGGTAGCTGGACATTTGTCCAGTTTTCATAGAGATTTTAAATTTTTTTCTTACTTGATTTGGAATGATAATATAGTTTCACTTTTTTATTGACTATGTTTAATTTACTGTTGCTTGCCAGAGCAACAAGTGTTTGCACTTAGTCAACAAAATTAGCGAAAGAGTTTAACTTGGCTAGTGCACTTGTAGGCCTTTCTGACAAGGTCTGTAACTTTTCAGACCTTTAGATGAGCGGAGTGTTTTTACTGCAGGCCAATAAAACAAATGTCAGTACTTTATTTTAAAACAAAGTTGTAGTTCAAGTTTTTAAGCATTAACAAATAAAATAGAAATCCACAAGTGATCAGTTTTTTGTTAAATGTGAACTGCCAAATATGAGTACATAGCAGCTGTTGTGGAAGTTTTATTGCTTGCCAGGATAAGGATTTGCTGATTTTGGAAATGGCTATTTCCCCTGTTCTGTTTATCATTCCCCTGACAATTTCCTTTTGTTAAGAACATGGAAAAATGTTTTTGCAATTATTTGATAAATGCCCTACTTTTAATCATAGCCTGATCTTTTAGATCATTACATTTTTTGGGGAAGTGTTTAAATTGAATAGAGTAAAAGAAGACATAAAGCACTGACATCCATAATCATGGTATGAAATTGTATGTGAAACAATTAAAAAATAACTGCCCTGAACCTCTGACTTTTTCCAAGATGCATCTTTTTCTACTGAATTTTCACTATTTGAAAGAATATCCAGCATTTTATTCAACTGACATGTACATATTAAAGTTACTTCAGCATAGGGATGTGTGTGTTGAACCTGCAAAAATGAACCCAGCAGTCCAAAGAGATGTTGAGACATTTTTTCTTTCTATTCAAGTGGTTTGGAAATCTGGTTACAATGAACTGGTGGAATGATCTGTGGCTTAATGAAGGACTGGCATCTTACTTTGAGTACCTGGGAGCTGCCTTTGTCGAACCCAAGCTTTCACTGGTAAGTACTAAAGCTTACTGAAGTAAGTAAGTTAAAGTGGCAAAGTTCCAGCATGTAGAAAGACAAGGAAGGTGCAGGAGATGGGATTTAATCAAACCATGGCATTAGTAACTTAACTGCCCTGGGAAAGACCAGCAGGTCTTGATTCTTCCCTGGAGGGTTTCCATCTGCTGGGGGCTGTCATCAAACCCAGCTCTTCCACAGCTGGCGCAGAGGACAGCTGGACAGCTGTGATTCTGCAGTAACAAGGAGTTGGTATTTTGCCCTAGATCTGTCATTTAACAAACCAAGCTTTCTCTCCTGGGTTCTGCAGCTGATGGTTTGCCACCCTGCCTGTCCAAGCACTTTTCCAAGCACCCCGTACCCAGGTACCTTTACTGAGCAATGAGTAAGTTGGGCCATTTTGAGTCTGTTTACCTCACTGGGTCCATGGATGCCTGGTTGTGGATAGGGCAAATATAATGCACATAGCTAATCTGAGAGCAGCGTAAAACTCCTTCCCGTTCCACCCAAATGGGAATAAGCATAAGTTCCACAGCATATTAGAAAACTCCATCCATCATTAAACTCTGAGACAGGAAGACGGTTGCTGCTAATTGTAGCCATGGGATGAGATGCACTTGCCTGTGCAATCATAAATGTCTGTGCACAGTGCCCTTGGCTTCTGAAGAAAGGAGAAGCCTTTAGCCTGGGCAGGCCCGAGACTGCAGTCAATCCAGTCTGCTTTTTATTTGGCTCAGATGAAATACCATTTGTCACTTTCCTTCTCTAATTCACCAAGTACTTAATTACATGCTTAATTGGAAACTAAGGCATGTCAAACAAATTCTCTCAGAAGGATTTTTAGGTCATGGGATATGCTAACCTCCTGCTTTGAACTTAACAACAGCTCACTTTATTCTCTGTAAAGCAGAGTTTTAATATCATTGAAAAGTATAAAGGCCACCAAATTTTAAATTGGAAAAAAGACTTTGTCTCCTTTCTAATTTTAATCTGTTTGTTTAGAAGCTTGTCTTTCTAAAAATCAACAATTGCGATTTTATTTATGTCCATAAAGTAAATTTTAATACTGGGCAGCAATTCCATTTGATAAATTACAGTTATATGATTTGCCTTGGAAATCCAGAGTAAGTTACACAGGTGCAAGAATACAGTGCAGTTTTATGGACCATACACATTCACAGACTGGCTGAGGTTGGAAGAGACCACTGGAGATCTTCTGGTGCAGCCATCCTGCTCAAGCGGGGCCACATAAGTCAGCTGCCCAGGACCGTGACCAGATGGCTTTTGAACATCTCCAAGGTTGGAGACTCCACAACCTCTCTGGGCAATGTGTGCCAGTGCTGGGTCATCCTTACAGTGACAGAGTGTTTCCTGATGTTCAGAGGGAGCCTCCTGTGTTGGGCAGTGTGTGCCCATTGTGTCTTGTCCTGGCCACCACTGAAAAGAACCTGGCTCCATCCTCTTTGCAACCTCCCTTCAGATATTTATATACATTGATGAGATCCCACCCCTGAGCCTGCTGTTCTCCAGGCTGAACAGTCTCCGGTCTCTCAGCCTTTCCTCCTGTGTGAGATGCTCCAGTCCCTTCAGCATCTTCATGGCCCTTCACTGGACTATCTCCAGTAGCTCTGTATCTTTTCTCTACTGGGGAGCCCAACACTGAACTCCACACTCCAGGTGAGACCTCACTAGTGCTGAGTAGAGGGGAAGGATCACTTCCCTCAGCCTGCTGGCAACACTTCTCCTAGCGCAGCCCTAGATACCATTGGCCTTCTTTGCTGCAAGGACCCATTGCTGGCTTATGTTCAACTTGGTGTCATTCGTGTCCCCAGTTCCTTTTTTGCAAATCTGCTTTCCATCTGGGTGGCCCCCAGCATGTACTGGTGCCTGGGGTGGTTCCTTCTCAGGCGGAGGAGTTTGCACTTCCCCTTGTTGAACTTTATGAGGTTCCTGTCAGCCCATTTCTCCAGCCTGTCCAGGTCCCTCTGGGTGGCAGCAGGACCCTCTGGTGTATCAACCACTCCTTCCAGTTTTGTGTCATCTGCAAATCTGCTGAGGGTACACTCTGTCCCATCATCCAGATCGTTAATGGTGTTGAACAGGACTGGACCCAGTATTTGCCCCTGGGGTATACTGCTAGTTACTGGCCTCCAAGTAGACTTTGTGCCACTTGACCACCTAATTACAAATTGAACCCTGATAATTAAATTTACTGGCTGTTTACAAAAAGAAAAAATCAGTCAACAGATTTGATCTCATTAGTTGGAAGCCTGTGTTCTTCTCCTTGAGAAGTGTTCAAAGGGGCCTGCAGTGTTTTAAAAAATTTAGGTTTTTTTCTTTATCTTTGTAATTATGTCATTTTCCATCTAGTCTTAGGAGAGATACTCAGCTGGAGGAATGAATCATCATTTGATAAAAAGAGAACTTCACTGATTTGCACCAAAGGAGCCATTTTCCCTCCATATTTCTCACTGGATGACAGCAAAAATGCTGTATAGTTAAGCCTTGCTACCCTTAATACCTTAGTTTTTAGGTTTATTACTCAGGGTTGCAGCAGGAGAAACAGAGAACTTAGGAAGAAAATGCTGCCATATTAATGACATATATGTAAATGAGATACAAGTTTTCAGTATTTGTTCGTTTGCTGTTTAATATAGTTGACTTCTTTTTCCCCTGAGGATTACACTGTAATTGCCTTTGTCAGGCCCAAGCCCACAGTCTTCTCAGATGTAAAATTTTCACTGCCCTGATTAGTAATGTTGCATGTGGAAAATGTTAGGATCGGGTGTAAGGTCCCTTTTACTTTATGGGAAAGTCAGGGAGTGGGAAAAAGGATCATTCCTTGTTTATTGACAGACTATTTCTATTAGTGCTAATACCATAATTACATTCTTTGCTAAGAATAAGTATTTTCTCTTCAGCTTACTTAAATTTGTCTTCTTCTTGCAGGATAAAATCTTTTATGATCACGTTGTACAACCTGTCTTAAGGGAAGACAATGAAATAGGAGTTCGATCACTGTCAGAGAGTGAAGACAAGATCAAAGGATCATTTTCTTTAATGTCTCTGTTTGACAGCATCACGTACAACAAGGTTAAAAAATATAAAATTCTTCCTGTTCCTTGCATATTCTAAACTAATGGCAGGTTAAACTAAGTAGGTTTGAGAGGAACAGTGGAATATTCTGTTGAATTACAATGCTTTTTGTAGGTAGTTTTGTCAGTATTTGTTTCTGCTGCACACACAAGTATATTGGATGTTGCAAATCTATTTGGCTATGAAAGAAACAGTGAAAACATTTCTAACCTCCATGAAATATGAAGCATAGCCTGACTAACTTCTCTGGAATATAGTTTGAAAAAATACCACAACAATAATCGCAATAATAATTCATGTTTTCTCATAGCTTTTTTTCTACTTCAGGGGGCTTCTATTACTTGGATGCTTTCTGGTTTCCTGACTGAGAAGTTGTTTATCAGAGCACTCACTGTAAGTCTGAAAAATTAACATTTTCATCTTGATTTGGAAGCTTGAAAATTACAGTTGCACAAATTACTGTTTGTCTGTTTTTCATTGAGCCCTCATGAATTCTGATGCTTCTGTTTGTTTCTGTACAGTCGTATCTGAAAGAATTTTCCTTCTCAAATGCTAACCAAGATGATCTCTGGACCCACATACAGATGGTACTCATTTTACCTGTAGTATTCTTGCTCTGGTGTTCGGCACAGTCCAAATTTAGGGTATATACTGTTTGTAGAAGACTGCACTGGAATTTGGCTATCCCTAGTGCAGTCTTTCCCCTGCATAAAATTTGCTTTGCTGGCTCTTCCCACTAATGTCTTCACAAGTGTTTATTTGGCTGCTTTACTGCACCTGAGGTCAGTGGAGCTAAGTACAAGGAGTAGAGAGATGAGATGCGAAATCAGGGCCATGGAGTTTTGGGTTTTATGGAGATAGCCTAAGCCTGCATGAAATTGCATAGCCTATTCTTCTGGAGCTTAAGTTTCACCAGATCAGTGCGTGTGATGCTCTGCGCTTGATGATCCAAGATGCTGATATGTCACAGATTCAGCAAAGTCTATACCCAGGGTGGTAGCTCAGCAACTCACCCTTGGCTGGTGTTGGCAGAAATCCGAATAAGAAAACAGGTGCTAGTAATAGGTTTACTTTTGAAAATTCCACTTTCCTGTTCCTCTAAAGAAGGCTTCCATTGTGTTGCAGACTCAGTCTTAGGTTAAGAACAGGAGTGCCACAATTTCAGATATACAGGGCTGTCACATCTTTTAAGCCAACAGAGACTGTACCAGTTCATACTAGTTGGGACTCTACCTTAGTTTCTTTCTCAATTTGTCTTTACTATTCAGTTTGTTCATTAGGTAGTCTAAAATTAAAAATCTTTGTGTTCTGGCAGCTTTATTTGAGTGAAATTAACAAGTTCGGTCAGTCATAGCCATACAGGGGTGTAAGTATATTAACACTAAAAAGAGAAAGGTTAGCAGTCAGGTTATAAGAATGAGAAATGTCATCTCAGTATTTCGTAATTCCTAAAAAGGCTTATGCTGTCTTTGTAATAACGTCAACAATATCCTTTTCACTTTGTTACATAGATTTTTTTGCATGAATCAAAGACCAGAAAACTGCTTCTAAGCAGTTACATTTTCTCTAACATGTTAGAACAACCCCTGGAGTGTTGCTGAAGCAATATCAGTAAGTACCTGTTTATCATAAAAAATTGTAATTCCTGTTTCTCTTGCAGGTTGTAGATGCACAGGATGAAGTTCAGTTGCCAGCATCTGTAAAGCAAATAATGGATTCCTGGACATGCCAAACTGGGTTTCCAGTTTTAACATTAAATCTAACCACTGGCACAATCAGTCAGGAGCAATTTCTTAATAAAAAGAATGAAAACCGTACTGATTCTTACAAGTATGTTTAGCTTGTGTTTTTATTATATGTTTATACCTTCTTTTTTTTTTTTTTCAGAAAACCCTTCAGTTAGGACATTATGTTTTGACCATCTGATTATTTAAATTTATGTTTTTTCATGTCATGAGCTGCCAAGTAAAATCTGTTTGAGACTAGATTTTGCAATAGTTGGGCAAGCCACCTGTTTTGCCAAAAGGTTGCTTTCTTCTGGTGTAGTGACTTTTCCAGCCACGTAATGGCTTTGTAAGGACAGACATAGGCCATGAATATATTGCAGGGCAGGGTTTTGCCTGGAAATTTCTTCTTTCCCCATCCCTCAGTTGTACAGACTGGGGACCTGGGTGAACCATACTGTAGCTTCTTTCCAGTGCACATATTCTCAGTCTCTTCTGCTTGGCAAGGGCAAACAGATTGCATTTAAGTACTTACATAAATGACACCTTTCTCAGAAAATGCTAAGTATCTGACATGCAGCTCTAAAGTTCCTGTCAGCGAGCATTGCCAAGCTCTAAAGTTCCTGTCAGTGAGCATTGCCAAGTCCCTGGTGCTTTTGCAAGCTGTGCTACTTATTTAGATGCCTAAAAACAGTGATAAAAGGAGCTGCCTTTGGTCACCCACTTCGGAAACTCATGGCTAGAGTTTGAAATGTCATGAAATTCAGCAGCTGTCATGAGTGTTGGAATGCATGGACAGGGCCCATGGGATGCGTTCTTACCCAGGGAAAAAGTATAAAGGATGGCAAAGCCCAAAGCAGTTTTTCCCTGGCTGCTATTGCTGGTCATACAGCCAGAAGAGAAATTTTGACAAGTACCACAGAGTTTCCTTTGCTTCCAAGCTCCAGGAAGTGCAGAAGATTAGTCCATTCAGCATCTTTGGTTAGCTAATATAAGGAGTTCCAAATTACAAATGTTAAGTCCTTTACTGTAGTCTCAGCAAGAGGCAATAGCACGTGAATTTAAGCAAATCCAGGACAAATATTACAGAATTTTTCATTTTTGTGAGCAACTTCAGGGTTTTGTAGCTTTCATCTGTTTTCACAGAGAGGTTTACATTCCCTCAGAAAGGAAATTACAGTTGTCAGAATGACAGTTGTATTGCTTGCCTGGAGCATTTTTTAGTAGATACCCTTCTGAAAAGGAGCTTTATGTTCTCCAGAAATAGCGTGAAGTGTAATAAGTGAGGAGAATAAAATTCTCCTTCCTGAAGAAGCAAAGCCAGATTACAGAGATACAGTCGTATTCAAACACCTAGCATCGAACAGTAGTCTAGATATGCGCGCCTATTTAAATCCATGCTAAAACTCCCTTATCTTTGCTGAACCTAAGTGCTGATACAGCAAAAGTAGCACCATCTGTTGAGGTTTTGTGTATCAGAGAGGAGAGAAGGTAGATGGGAGATTCTTGTAAGAAGGAACTCATCTGCAGTCTAGTTTAACATCAGCTGAGAGGGTTTTTTTTTAAGAGGAAGAACTAACTATATTATATCTTTTTTGTTAAGTAACACGTGGATTATTCCTATTTCTTGGATGAGAAATGGATCATCACAACCTTTAATGTGGCTAGATAAAAGCAGCAGTAAGTAATGTATTTGTTCACACATGCTAAAACCATCTGATAAAAACACACCTAACACGTCTAAGAACAGAACTTGAATTGAATAAGGAGATAAAACTTTATTACAGAAATGTCTGTGTTTATCTATTGTGCTAATTTTATGTTAAAATAGCAATAGATTTTCAAATATGTTAATATATTGGGTTTTTCTATGTTGCATCAAACTTCAGCGTGTGTTTTTAATAATATGGTAGAATGCGTATTATGAATAGAGATTTCCACAACAATTTTGATTTTGTCATTTTGTGCACAAATCCAAACTTCTAGCTCTTCATGCTTCTGTACTAC